AGGGTCTGTTTGGTAACCATTCCGTTTTCAGTTTTCAGTTTATATTTACAAAAATTTTAAAAATTGTCATAAAAACTTGTTTGATAATTTTCTTGGTTTATAAATGGTTGCCTCAGTTTACAAATTTGAAGAAAAACGTAAACTCAAAAAATGAGTTTACGTTTTCAGTTTTCAATTTTTTTTTTCAAATAATTTTTTTTCAATTAATTTTTTTTCAAATAATTTTTTTTTTCAAATAATTTTTTTTTCAATTAAATTTTTTTTCAATTATTTTTTAAATTAATTTTTTTCATTGTATTTTTTTTCAATTATTTTTTTAATTAATTTTTTTTCAATTATAATGTGTGTAATCCAATTGTCATAAATAATAAAAAATAAATACAAATATTTTAAGCCTGAACAAACATATTTTTTAATTTATGTTTTTAAATTTTTTTAAACATTTTGTTCAAACCAAACGCGTTTGTAATTTATATTTTTCTAAAAATAAACAAAAACTAGTTTATAAAATTTTTGGTCCAAGTAACATAATTGAGTCTTTGATTTTGTTCTTAACCACAATTATGGTGTGAGAATACTTGTTCTGCCATCGCTTTCAAATTATAAAACTTTGTCTTTTCATTATTTTTTTTTAAAAAAAATTGGTAAATAGTAAATACACTCTTTGATATTTTCTTAAAATACAAATTGCCCTTATAATTTTATAAAGTACATCTCATCCCTTCAAATTTTTAATCGTATAACAAATGACTCATTTTATTAAATAAGCGTAAATTACACTGACACCGCTTGAGATTTCTATTTAATACACATTCCTCCTTTATGTTTGAAAAATTACATTTCCCTCCCTAAGGTTTGTAATCTCATTACAAATTGTTCCTGGTTGCTGATGTCATACCTTAAAATTTTTTAAATGATCATTTTGTCCTTTTTCCTACCATTCTTCTTCCTATCATCATGACTATATTCTATAACTTTTCATTATTAAATTCTACCTGAATATATTCTTATTGAGTGATAATATATAACATGAATTATATATAAAATTTTCAAACACAATAATATAACTTAATAGTGACATTTCACTTTAAAACAAAATACCCACAAGCATAATTTATATTTACAACAATATCACTATCACAATATTTTATGATATTTTTTGTATAAATTTTTATATTGAATAGAATTTTTCATTTTTATTTCCGCCATCATTTTTCTTTCTCGTCTATTCACCCACATTTATTATAGTATTAGCAAACACCATCTTTCGCATTTATTACACTATTACTGAATTTTTGTATTTTTGTATTTGGTGAATTTAAAAAAAAAAAATCATAAAATATTATACTTCTTAAATACATCTAGATTAGGTATATCTAAAAAATAAAAATAAAAAATTGATTAAAATATTTTAAAAATTCAATAAAAATAAAAAATACGAAAAATAAAAAAAAAAAATTTGTGTGACTTAAACCAAAGAAGATGATTGTTATTTCCCTTGAAATGACATGAATAAGATATCAACATTATTTTATTATTTTATATATAAAGTCTAAAGGGCAAATATGTCATTTTAATTTGATAAGGAGATAAGAGTAATTTTTCAAACGTAAAGGGTGTCTGTATTAAACAGAAACCTCAGGGGGTGTAAGTGTAATTTACCCATTAAATAATTATCAAGTCAATTAATAATTTTTAATGATATCATAAATATATTCCAATTAACAATTCAAGTAATTTTATTATTGTATAGGAGAGTAGTTAAGAATTTTATGTTTTCTATTAATTCTGTTAAATAAAAAATTATGGCATGAAGGTATCTGTAATTTTTAGAATTATAAAGGGTAATTCGTATTTTAAACAAATTTCAAAATGTGTATTTGTAATTTATCTTTTTCTTTTTCTTTTTTTTCTTTTTTTCTTTTTTTTTTAGGATGGGTTTGTTTTAACAGAGTATGAAGAAACAATTAGTGTGTTTAGTTTTAATTTTATGAAAATTAAGTTTTTTGTTTTTAATTTTTTTTTGTTTTTAGTGAATATTTTTAAAATTTTAAACAATTTTTTTACTCTTTTAGATGCATCTTACTTAGATGTATCTAAATAGTAAAATATTTGTGAAAAAATTAATAAATATACAAAATACAAAAAATATATTATTTTTTGTTTTATTTTTATTTTATTTTTATTTTTTTGGTATTTAGTGAATTTTTTTAAAAAAAATTTCACAAATATTATATTTTTTAAAGTGTATTTATATTAGATATGTCTAAAAATTTAAAAACTACTTAAAATATTTTAAAAATTTAGTGAAGAAAAAAAATGGAAAATAAAAAAATAAAATTTTCTGAAAAGTGAAACCAGAGTAAATAATTTTTAGGAAGTTGCCAAAATTATGCTTCTTGTTTAATTTAGGGGTAAATTACACTTTGCTCCCTAAAGTTTCACCCATTTCTCACTTTGGCCCTTTAAATTTGATTTTTTCCACTTTGGCCCTTTATGTTTACAATCATTCGCACTTTGGTTCTTCATGTTTGCAATCCTTCCCACTTTGCCCTTTTAAGTTTGATTTTTTTCACTTTGGCCCTTCATGTTTGTAATCCTTTCAACTTTGGTTCCTCGTGTTTGTAATCTTTTCTACTTTACTCATAGACTAATTTCCATCCAAAAAAGTAACAGAATTTATCAAAATCACTAACACATTAGCTCTATATGTGATGTAAAAAGTTCACTAAATATGCAAAAAATAAAAAATAAAAAACAAAAAAATTGAATTTTTTTTAGTCTTTCATGAACTTTTTTTTCAAATTTATTCATAAACATTATTACATTATAGATGCATCTAGATTAGGCGCAGCTACAAAAATAAAAACAACTTGAACTTAAAAAAATAAAAAGTTCACTCAATACGAAAAAAATGATAGTAAATTTTGCATTTCAGAATTGACAATACAGGTATTTGAGTCAGTATATTCTTATTTTTTTCGTCTTTAGTAAACTTTTTTTTTCTTTTTTTAGTTAAATTTATTTTTATTTTTTTAGCTACATCTAATCTAGATGCATCTATAATGTAATAATGTTTATAAATAAATTTGAAAAAAAAGTTCACTAAAGACAAAAAAAAAAAAATTCAATTTTTTTATTTTCTATTTTTTATTTTTTTCATTTTTAGTGAATTTTTTACTTCACACATGGAGCTGATGTGTTAGTGATGTGACATATTCTGTTGATTTTTTGGATGGAAGTTAGTTTAGGAATAAAGCGGGAATGATTGCAAATATAAAGGACCAAAGTGGGATGGATTGCAAATATAAAGGACCAAAGTGAGAAAAATTAAACGTAAAGGGTGAAAGTGCGAAATGGGTGAAATTTTAGAGGGCAAAGTGTAATTTACCCTTAATTTAGAAATCCAATAGTTTAGAAAAGAATGTATTCCAAAAATTAAGAAAAATCTTGGGCAAACTTTAAGCCATTGACCAATGGTTAAAAAATTTAGGATTTTTTACCAACCAGTCCCTATAATTGAATCTATTATCTATAAGGTCCTAAGTTTCTATCTCATGCACCAGCAAGTCTTGTTGTATTTTTTTTTATCCCAACTTTGTCCTTTTTGTTATACTTTCGCGTGTTTGGTTTTTTTCCTTCTAGTTTCCTGTTTTATTTTTGAACTTCAAATTGCGAACCTTCGACAATATTTTTTTTGGCCATTTTTCATCTCCAACACATTGCCACCGCAACCACCTCCTCAGATTCGGTGGCGATGACAGAAAAAAGAGAAGAAAAAAAATGAAAAGAATGAAGGAGAGAGATAAGAAACTATTACCAAAGAATAATTCTCATCATTTTACGCTATCACAAATCAAGCCAAAGAATCAAAAGTCTAATGCAGTGATAAATTTATCATGCAACAAATCTCAGCCAGAGTTACAGTAATAAATTTATCATTGTTGAATTTGTTAAAAAATTTACAAATAACAGACTTGATTTGAGAGAGAGAGAGAGAGAGGGGCATCACAACAAATTTATTACTGAATTAAGTAACAAGTTTATCATTCATAAATTAAGTAACAAATTTATCACTGAATTAAGTAACAAAATTATCAGATCAGTTACTCTTCTGTAGAAGATCAACAACACCTTTCAATGCACTGATTGGATACTTTGCATCACAAACTGATGATAAAGGAAGATTGTGACAACAATGGTGCCGAAGATGGTAGATCGGTGATGGAGGAAGATGGTGGCAACGACGATGTTGAAGATGGTAGATCAATGATGGAGGATTGCAGTGTTAAAGCTATCAGATGAATGATGGAGGAAGAGCAGCGGTGATGGCAACGAGAGAGAAGGACGATGGTGGTTGAGGCGAGTGTGGTTGAGCCGGGCAACATATATGGTGATGAAAAAGGAGGAGATGGTGTGCCAGTGAGAAATATGAGAGTGAGAGAAAGAGAAAAGAGAGAAATAGAGATAGGGATGTGTTTGGGTTTAGGATAAAATCACTCAACTAAATGTAAGGGGTAAAAATGAAAGATGAGCTAAATTATTTGGAAAATTCTATTTCCACACACAAAGTTTCCTTACACCACACACTTAACGAATTTTTTCAGAATCACAATTTTATCCTTTAACAAAGTTACAATCTCACCCATCACCATCTCACCTATATATCTCATAATTTCTCCATACACATCTCACCTACCACAATCTCACCAGTCACTTCACCACTGGCCACCACCGGCCATCACCTCCTATGCCCAAACCTCATCCTTAGAGTTGTGACCATGCATCTAAATATTTAAACTCATCCTCTGTACATGTGTTTCTAAATATTTAAATTCTCAATGTTTATGAATTTGTAAATGCACATTTTCATATTTGTCTAGAATGATCACGATATGTATACCACTGCAATTTATCTAATTCTACATTCTAGATGGACTTCATAAACACTTTACATCCAAAATTTATTGGTGGAAGTAAAGTTGTCGAAGAAGCATTGCATCAGATCAAGTCTAGTAGGGTAGCTACACCCATTCCTAGGCCAAAGGTACGTGTATAAGGTGTTGTTGATAACTGTAAGTTTTGTAAATGCTGCATCTGCACCTGTTGTTTGAATTGCTTCATCTTCTTTCTATTACAAATCTAAATTGGGTGCATTTTGTCTGTTAGGATGTGGATCTGGAAAAGGCACCAACATCTGAATGTGCATATGTTCTATTGGCTGAGAGGCTGGAAAGGGGCGGTGGTTGATGTCATTGCTGCCGTCATTCGTAGCTGGTGTAGTTAGGGTTAAGGTTTTTGGAGTGAGAAATGATGGAAGGAGAGGATGTGCATAGAGAAGGTAAGGGTATATTTGGAATTTTAAGTGTGGACTGAGATAAAGTAAAAATCAAATTACTAGAAGTGTGGATTGAGAAAAGATGTATACAAAGATGATTTGGTGCGGAAATAGAATTTCCCATGATTATGCCATGATTTTCAGGAAATAATTTTTTCCCAATTTGTTTGTGTCTGAAATGTTGTAACCCCTAAATCATTTTTAATCTTAGCTCGCAAATGTTGATCAAAATGTATCCTTCTCTCTTTTTTGTTTTTGGGTGAATTCTCTCTCCATTTCTCTTTTTTCTTCACTTGACATTATTAAAATAAATTACGAGGCTAAAAAGTAGAAAAATCCAAACATTAATCGATTGTTTCAGTAATGAAAATCTACCTTTGCAATGCCAATTTTAGACAATTAAAACTTCAATAGATCAGTTCCTAGATTTATTCAATATTTGGGTAGTTGAAAATCCGATGAAAGCACTCCAACTTCTATAACTCGAACCAAGCCCCATAACTGGCATACTACAACATCCAAGTACCCATTTACGGACAAAAATTCAATCAAATACTCGACACTCAAATGGTATAGAATTGTGAAACAAGAAGTTAAATAGCTGTATTTTTACATTACAACATCCATATTTGGTAAATCATATGAATAAGTTGAATAATTTATTCTACACATTTGATAATCCAACAATTTGGATAAAATAACAAACAAACGCGAACCCAATTGAGATTCTGGTTTTGCTAATGAGAGAGGCATTGTAGGGTTGTGTATAGGTTGAGAGAGCATGGAGTGCTAGTTTCCAACCCAAAACTGCAACTTTCAGTTTCAGACGCAGAATATAAACCATCTCAGTCAAAGGAATTGCCAATCACAGTCGTCTTCTTGTGTTTCGCCCTCTGCATTATTATCGTGCACAATGTCAGAAGACTCGTCTTGTTGATTTCGACTAGTATCACTCAACATGTCATAGTGATTGGCTGCCCTTGGCGAATGGAGCACCCTTTGATTCATCAGCTAGCCTTGAAGCACGGTTACAAAAATCATCAAAATCATCTGCCAAACCAAAAAAAAAAAGAAAAAGAAAAAGAATGTCATACCCAAAAAAGCTTCAATCCTCGAGCAATAATAAAATGAATGTATGGAATTTAATCAAGAACAGCCAGCCAGCATCCATACCTTTGTCTCTGCAATAAAACCCAATTGCCAAGGATGAATCAACGGAGTCAAGTGGTACGTGCCGCACAACGCTGGAATCATTATCAAAACAAATAAAGGAAAAACAAAAAGCAACACAAATAAATAGAAGAAGAAAAAAGTAAATGGAGGATGATAATAAAGCAATCACTATGTCTCAAAACTTACTTGCAGTGATAAGATGAAGTATCAGCCTCTAGATTATCCCTCCTGATATCAACTACCTGATTATGCAACCAGCCAAGGAGAAAATGGAGTATGCATTATGAATACTCACACATCATAAAGCAAGAAGGCAACAACATAGTTAATGCCATTTTTTTATTAGCAACAACATATTTCATCATTCCAGGTAATTAAAGATCATTATTGGACAATAATCAAAAAATAAAACCAAGGAAAGCAAATCAAAATAGGGGAAAATAATGACGTTCATTTTGTTGGGGCTGCCATTAAAAACCACCTAGGCATTTAGCATTTATACTTTTCATTTTAGTATACATTTTCAAGGCTAAGTATATAGGCTTGATATAAAACATATAGTTGCAAAACAAACCCAGCACAACCTTCCATACAGGGGCATGAACATAGTTTCTAACAGTGGCACTTCAAAGGTTGCCTACCATTTATACTGAACTCATACTGTGAACTTCGATTTAAACTAAGGTTTTGTCTCATTTCACCCATGAAATTATGACCTTTTTTTTACTACAAATAAAGCTTGTAGGATGTTCGCAAAAAAGAAAAAAAAGAAAAGAAAAGGTGAAGCGTGTAGACCGTATTCGAGTTGACAACAAGCAGATTGCCAGCCTAGGTATGCACAAATAAGGTTGTTAAAATCGGAACCCTAAGTGGGATCGTTGGGAGAGACTCGTGGATCGGATCGAGAATCGTAAGATTCTATTTTCAACGCAAAATAAAATGAAAAAGTATGAATAATGATAATGTATGTTGCACAATTTTAAAAAGACTAAAGAAAAATGATAAATTTGATATAACGCACATTCTACGTTAATATAAATTGAAAGAGACGATTGAAAAATGAGTTTGTAGTCAAATTTTTTATATAGATATACATATATATAACAAATAAATAATAACAAAAACAATTGGAAGATCAGAATCATAATAGAATTGGGATCATATTATGAATAAGATCGTTATCACTTTAAGATCCTACAAAATTTAAGATTTTAATGTGATCCGGATCGGGATTCTGATAACCATTTTATTACTACATATATGAGTCAATGTGGAAAAGCAATATTGCACTGTACCGGCTGAACTTCATGTGGATCAAGGTAGAAAGCCTCTTCATCCTGCAGGCCGACAATGAGTTGAAGCACTAGGTCTACCACCAAGGATACCAAGGCTTTGGGGAAACGTGAATGTCGAGTTCAATAAAGGAATATACCTAACAAAATTTTAAAAGCAAAATATTTCTGATTAACATACAAGACAACATTAAACCAAATAAGGCAAGGAAGGAATAAGACACATAAGGTAGTAACTTCAGCTTTTTTAGTTTTTCAGTGATTATATTAGTGTGCACAGCCCACATAGAACAATTTGCTCGTAACAACATTATGGCACTGAATCATATAGATCAACATACCCCGGTAAACATATTAGGGGAGC